GCTGTAACAACTCACAAGAGACCTTCAAGATGGAGCCTGTGATAGTCCTTCATAGAAGGAAGGGTAAGAGGGGTCATTAGACCCTCACTTGAGATCTCAGTCACTCCCTCCTGTGCCCCCTTCCACCTGGATGTAATTCTGCTCAAGCTGTCCATGGTTGGGAGGTGCTCAAGTATATATAGGACATTAACTCAAAGGGCTCTGTCTATGCAGCTATGAGGAAGTGGTTGTCCATGCCAAAGTGAGACTTTATGGTGATGCTCCTGTAAGCAACCCTGAGCCCGTGCTCTGTAATAAGCCTAATAAACTCATTGGTTCCCCAAGTTGGACTTTGGTGGAATCAGACTTTGGGCTGTTATTGATGTCCTACCTGAGAGAGCAGGTATTTGTCCATGCTTCCTCAGAAAAAGTTCAGACAAGAGAGTTCAGACCTGCCCTCTTTGTATAATTTTTTTTTTAAAGAAGAACCAAGTTAAATGCCAGCTGTGTCCCTGATTCACAGAAATAACACAAGGGAGACAATTGTGGTGGGCAGGTGCTGTGTCTGGTGGGTCTGGTCAATGTATGTTGGGAAAGTCCCTTACATTGTAAGAATACCTCAATGTCACTTATGTGTTGTGTGGCCGTTTTCACTTAGCTAGGACTGGCAAACATCTAGTGTGTAGCATGCTATTGTTTGTTTTTGAGGCAGTCTCCTGTAGCCCAGGTTGGCCTCCAATTCCCTATGTAGCCAGGGATGACCTTGAACTTTTGCAGTCATATATTACCACATCCTGTTTATGCATTGCTGGGTATAGAAACTAGGACCTAGTGCATGCTAGGCAGGTACTCTACCAATTGAGCTGTATTCCCAACCAACTGGGGGTTCAGGACCCTGCAGCTTGATGCTGCTGTGCTCCAAGCTGGGGGTGGGTCAGGGGCAGCTCTGGGGTCCTTCAGTGAAGCTGCTCACAACCTTCAGGGCTCTGCTCTGCATTGTAAGGGAGGTCATGAGCACAGGCACAGTGACTTTATGTCACTGCATTCTTGGGGTGTTGCCTCTTGCATCCCTGGCTGTGTCACTGCTCTCAAGTCTTCCGTGATAGTCAGTGAAAGTTCTGGCAGGGGCAGGCATGGATTGAAGAGCCAGATGCTCTGTCCTGCTTTTCCTGAGGCCCAGAAAGAACAGACTTGCACAAGGTATAGCCAGTGTGGAAAAATCTGCACTGTGGGTCTTTTCCATACTCTTGGCACACCTTTACTGTCCTTAGGTGTCTGGGTTACTGGTGGCATCAGGTCTAGAGTCCAAGATTTCCTGTGACTGGAACACAAGGCCTTTTCAAGCAGGGCTGGATGGTTGAAGCCCAACCAATTAGAGGCTGAAAGGACAGGTCCATGGGGAGGCAGATTGCAGAGTTCAGGGCGTTGGTGGCAGAAGGACCATGCCTCCCCTGTACATTTTCACCTGGACTCCAGTCTAGCATGAGCCCACTGCCAGGCAACATGTCACTGTCAAGTACAATCAGGTACATCCTAGGCTTGTGATGGGACACTTAGGCTAATCAACTCATATTTGTGTTGAGCCATATTTGTGATTAAAAGTGTGTCATTTATCTTTATCTGCATGGTCACCTGGAGAGAGGAACTGAAGAGGTGCCTGGAGACTATGGAATCTCTACCATCCTAGGAATCTGAGACTTCCTAGAATAGAGTGACCAGTCTACCTCCACCTCCGAGTGTGTGTGGTGAGGGTAAGCTGGGGTGACAGAGGAACACACAGCATCCCATTGTACATTGTGGGTGTTTATGACAGAGCCACAGAAGTTTCTGAGAGGTCAGAAGGTGGCCTGTCCTCTAACGGGGAACTTTGGGTGGTAGGATCCAGACAGGCCTCCACATTGGTTCTCACTCTACAGAAGACGTCTTGACCTGATGGCTCCAAAATGTGTAAGAAATGCTGATGCCTGCTTCCCATGTGTCCCAGGCCTTTGGCTCTGGGGTGGGGCAGAGCTTGGAGAGTACAGTCTCAGAACAGTGCCTCTTGCTAGCTGAGGTTGAACTGCCAATGTTGGCTTCCCCCTGTAGGCCCTTAGCCTGGGTCAGCATGGGGCTATCTCAGGAATTTTGGCCCCTAAGGTAGGGAACACCAGCACAGTGTGGAAGGAGGTTGATAAGGGCACAGTGAAGTTCTGTGTGCTGTTTTTAGAGCCCCAGTCCCAGTCAGAGACCTAGAGACTGTTTTAAAAGATACAACTTCTGCACAGAATTGCCATTTGTGTCAAATTTATGAGGCTGAATTTTGTCAAGCAAAATTGTTTCATTGGGCTCTTTAAGTCTTTATGTGTTGCATGTTTTTAAAGAGTTACAGTTTCAGGGACTGGAAAGATAGCTCAGTCCTAAAGTGCTTGGCCTACAAGCAGGAAGACCTGAGCTCCATCCCCAGCATTCAAGTAAATAACCAGGCATGGTGATATATGCTTGTAATCTCAGATCTGTGCCAGCCAGCCTCACCTAATCAGTGAGCTCCAGGGTCAGTGAGAGACTCTCTCTTATAAAACAAGGCCAGGGGCCTGAAGAGATGGCTCAGTAGTTAGAGCATTGGCTACTCTTGCAGAAGACCTGGATTTTGTTCCCAGCATCCACATGTGGTTAACAACCATCCCTAAGTCCAGTTCCAGGGAATCAGATGCCCTCTTTTGGCCTCTGTGGGCATTGCACACAGATAGTGCACTTACATATTCATAGACAAAACACTTATACACATAAAGCAAAAAAAAAGGAACCAAGGTGGACGGGGAGACTGAGGAATGACACCTGTTGTCTGTAGTGTGACTACCCTTGCCCAGAACTTCCAGGTTTAATATGTAGCTACTGTGCTTTTCCATGCAGGGCTTATATTTACTTTGTATCTTGTATTCTGCAGTTTGATACAGGATTTATTTCTTTGCACATACCCTTCCCCCAGCCTTGGTTGCAGGATTTTGCCTTGTTGTCTGTGAGGCTGCTTGTCAGCTGGGGGTTCTCCTTATAACAGGACACAGCGGGAGCCAGCACAGAGAGGAGTAACTCAATTGACATTCTGTTGTAATTTAGCAGTCGATTAATGACCACTTACTGGAAAATGTTACTTGGATCTGTGGTGAGTGTTGTTAGAAACTGAATTACTCCATCTATTTCCCTAGGGCCCTTTTCCCCCTCCTCCTAGAGTACACACTTTGAGCTACAGGAAGTGGCAGCAAGTTGCAATCACAGTTTCATTGTTCCTCTATATTATTTATTTTGTGTTTCCAAAATAATTACATTACCTTTAATGGTACTAGAGATTTGCCAAGAGCCGGAGGGTTTTTGTAGGGTCACTAGGTTCCTTACTCCCCAGCTCCAGCATGAAAGTTTCCTGCAATGTTATTGCCACATTGTAAGAATTTGGGTCACCTGGAATCTCTCTACCTCCTTGTCTTTACTCCTGAGATGACTTAAATAACCCATCTTCTGGTTTTGTGAAATCACTCACTTTGCAAAACCTTTGTTAGACCCCAGAAGTGGAAGAATGTGAGTTTAGTAATTGTGTGACCCTGGGTGGCTCACTTTACCTCTCTGAGCCTCAGTATTCTTACCTATTGATGAGTGGGGAGGTGGGTTACCAGGAACAGGGGAATCAATCAAATGATAGGAAGGGAGGGAGGCAAGTCACACAAAGCCCTGGAGATACTAAGTACCATCAAGTCACCTCCCTTTCTTCCTGGACAACTTAAAAGTAAAACAGCAACAACAGCTCATCCCTTTTGCCAGCAGTTGGGGGACCTGTGGAAGACAGCAGCAAGGGAGCTTACTTATCACTTAGTGTATGTGCATGTGAGTGTAATTGTGTTTATGTGTGTGAGTGTGTACATGTGTGTGCACGTGTGTGCTCTTGTATGTGGAGGCCAGAGGTTGACTTTGGATGCCATCTACCTTGTTTTTTGAGACAGAGTCTCTCATTGGCTTGGAGCTCACCAATTAGGTAGGAAGGATCCTTTTTATTTATTTACTTATTTTTACTTTATGTGTATGAGGGTTTTGCCTGCTTGTATGTATATGTACTCGTGCATGTAATACCCATGAGGGCCAGAAGAGGGCATTGGATCCCCTGGAACTGGAGTTAAAGACAGTTGTTAGCCACCACATGGGTTCTGGGAACCAAACTTGGTTCCTCTGCAAGCAGCCAGTTCTCTTAACTGCTAAGCCATCTCTCCTGCCCCAGCAAAGTTCTTCTTATATCTACCCCCACCCCCATCCCTGCCAGTGCTGGGATTGCAAGCATGTACCACCATGCCCGTCTTTTTAAGAAACACGGATTCTAGAGACTGTACATAGGTTCTCATGCTTGTATGGCCAGCACTGTATTAACTGAGTCATCATCCCATCCCCACCATCAGTTTTCTTTTGGTTCATAGAGCTTCCTGTTCAGCCTTCCACATGAGGCAGATGAGGTTCAAGCACACCAGCAGGCCATGAGAGTGTGAGCACATGCTGGGGCCAGTCTGGTGCATCTCCTCTTTCTTAGCCCACAGGTGGATGGTTTGCTTTTGGTTTCCTGGGAGAGGGCTGTTGGCCTGCAGCCATACAGCGTGGCTTTCTGGGAGGGTTGGTCCCTTTCCAGGGGACTCCACACAGAAATGTCCACAGTAGTCCATCTGTGGATCCTGTTTTCAGTTCCTTGGGCCCTCTAGGGATCTCGGTCCTTTCTGAAGTCCATGGAATAATTGCCCCCAGTTTCCAGTTAGTTACTGTGGCTGCCACTCCTCTTTTCTCCCTGCATGAATGGAGGAAATCTTCTGAGACACTTGGCAGCCTGGCTATGGTTTTGCAGCCTGGATTTTTGAGGTCTGATAGATTCTGGGGAACCTTCCTTTTATGCCTCGGGCTGGATGGCATCCCTGTGCCCAGCCCACAGAGTCATGGGGGAAGTGGTCAGCTCCACACGCGCCTGGCACACACTGACATGGCTGTGGTCTGCTTCTTTTTCCATCCTCTCCCTCCAGAGTATAAGAAGAAATACGGGGAAGAGCATGGCTCCTGCCAGGCCGGGATAGCAGGCTTCTTCACCGAGGTGGGTGCAGCCATGTGGCACTTGTTTTCCTCTTCCCTTCTTGGTGTTCGTGTCTTTCTTTTTGTGGTTGGGGTAACACCTGGACATGAGACTTTCTGGTGGTTCAGGCACTCCAGCCACGAGTGAGTGGATTTTGGTCCTCCCTTTGGGGTAGTTGATGCAGGGCACCAACTGACCAGGGACCACTGGGTGGAGGGGGCTGGGCTGGTTACCTGGAGCGTACTATAGAAGTCAGTCTGAGATCCCTGGGAGGAACTGATAGCATTTTAAAGATATGTCAGGCACCTGAGTGCCACCTTACACCCTCCCCTCCTCCTTCACAGAGAGACTATTTTATACACAATGTAGGGCTCTTCATTTCTTGAATTCTGAAGGTTCCTTCTCTTCAGAATGTGTCTAATTGGTAGCAACAAGATCAATTTTGACTGCTAGGACATTTTTAGGCACTTTCTTTTCTTTTGTAAATGGACATTTAATATTTATTTATTTATTTATTTATTTATTTATTTATTTATTTATTTATTTATTTATGTGTGTGTGCATGCACATGTGTGGAGACCAGAGGACAACTCATGGAAGTTGGTTCTCTCCTACCCCAAAGGTTCCTGGGATCAAACGCAGGTCATCAGGCTTGGCAGAAAGCACCCTTACCCACTGAGCCATCCTGGTCCCCAGGGACTTTTTTTCTTATGTGAGTCTCATCATCTTTAAGCTTCTGCAAACATTTTTATGACTGTCAGCCATGTGTAGAGTTCCACACTTGGCTCTGATGCAGAACTGCCATCTACATACATGTTCAGACCAAAGATCAAAAGCACTTTCCACTCCGAGCTCATCTGAAAATCTATTTTACCTCCAGAATGCATCCCGTGTGACCGCTTTTCTGTATGACCACTTCACCTGGTGATGGCTGTCATGCTTCTAGAAAAGCTGCCCACACCAACTGGAGACATGCTGGACCTCAATTGCCTCCCCTTAAAATATGTTTAATGGTCAAATATACATAATATAAAATTCTCCCCTTTAACCATTTTAAAGATCAGGGGCTTTTAGTGAATTCACAGTGTCATCTAACTGCCACTGTTGTCTGCTTTGCTTTGCTCCGGGCTGGGTCTTTTCTTGAGGGGTGCAATGTGTTTTCTGCCCAGTAGTCTGACGGAATTTCTGATCCCACAGCTTCCTATTAATGGAAGGCCAAGGCCTGAACACCTCATCTCAGGCCCAGGCCTGTCTCTGAGGACTCCTGTCTCTTTTTCTCGTGGAGGAGGACACATGGTATTGAGGATGAAAGACAATATTCTCTGGTTCAGTACTTCCTAAAGAATATCACCCCCAAATCAGGCATGAATTGCCTCACCTTGATTTAGAGACTGATGTTTAATTCACAGAAAACAGCTGGCAATATAATATTCTAGTCTAGAGCACAGAGGAAAGGTAGATAGAGGTTTTATTATTATTTACTCTCAAGCTAGTAAATGCTAGGTGCTTAGCTTCTGTCCAGGCCTTCAGTAACTTTTTCTGTTCACTCCAGCATCCTTTCATGACTGTCTACACCAAATGCTGAAACCACATGGCCCAGGATCTCTGGGAATGTGGCCCAACACAAAATGGTAAACTTATTTGAAATATTATGATTTTTTTTTTTTTTTGCAATTTAAAATTTTTATCTGTGCAGTTTTTGAGCATGAACTTTGTAGATGTCAAAAGGTTGGACCCTCCTGGTCTTCCCAGAGTTTCACGCAGGGTCCCGTGATGAGCTCTATCGTGTGCCTTAGCTGTTGAAGTTAAAATGAAAATGGTTCTTCTCTTACCTCTCCTATCATCAGCTCCCACAAGTCCCACCCCTTGTAGCCTCATAACCCCTCACGGAGACACACTTTCTGCGTCCTTGGCCACCACATGCCAGCTGCAGTTGTCTTGCTCCCTCCCCACTGCAGAGCTCCTGTTACCTGGCTGCCAGCCTGCCTCCCAATGGGATTGCATTAGAACCATCTTCTACAAACAACAAAAGCATCATGGCTCTCCTTGCTCAGAGCCGCTCGGTGTCTTCTCATCCCACGTGGATAAAATCTAAACGCCACCCCTCCCACACCTCCCTGGCCATCTTTCCTTTCTACCTTGTCTCTTTTCCAGTCTTCTCCAGCACACTGCCTCCAGCCACAGCTGTGGCTGCTGATGGACATGCCACATTCTCACGGTAGCACTACAGTGGAGCACCACACAGGGCTGTGTGCACAAGAGCTCGTAACACACAATGGGGTCCAAAGATATTCAAACACTGAATTTTGGTACACTATGGCCAATTTTATTCCAAAACTCTTTACTGTTTGACTAGCCACCCACACCCTGCTACTTCTGTCCCAATATTCTCTCACAATGTTTTAAATTTTTGCTATTTATAAAAAAGAAATCTTATTCTGCTTTTTTTAATTAAAATTTTTTTATTCATTATTTTTATTTTATGTGTATGTGTGTATTCCCTGTGTGTAGGTAAGCGCACCTGTGTCGTACAATGCCTGTGGAGGACAGAAGAGGCTGTCGGATCCCTGGAACTGGGGTTAGGACAGTTGTTAGTGGCCATGTGGATGGTGGGATTCGAACCTGGGTCTTCTGCAAGAAAAAGCAGTGTTCTTAACTGCTGAGCCATCTCTCCAGCCCCTTGTTCTGCTTTTAACATCCCATTACTGTTGTAGTTTAATATGTTTTTCAAAAACTTGCAATTTGTATTTATTTTTCTAGAAACTATTGAATATTCTGGTTTTGTTGCTGGCTTAACAATTTGTATGCCAGGTGTGGTGGTGCATGCCTTTAATCCCAGGACAGCTGGGGCTACAGGGAGACCCTATCTCAAAAAGACCAAAAAAAAAAAAAAAAAAAAACCAATTTGTAGAAACTTGTTATGTTTTTTCAACACTAATTTTTTTTAAGTGTTTTACTTTGCAATTTTTTTTTAGTCTTTTTGAGTCAGGGTCTCGCTGTATCCCCCAGCTGGCCAGGAACTTGCTAGGTAGACCAGGCTGACCTTGAACTCACAGAGATCCACCTGCCTCTGCCTCCCAAGTGCTAGGATTAAAGGCATGTGCCATCATTGCTGGCACAAAATTTTTTTAATTGGTTTTTTCCTTGTATTTCAACGTGTTTCTGGTATATCTATTATTTTGACTTGAAACATTCATATTTGGTCAAATAAATCTGTTGATGTTTTTCTTTCTAGATTCTAGCTCTCCTTAAGTCTGTGAAAATATTTACTTATATTTTCTTCTAGTATTTTCATAGCTTTAAAATTGTTTTTTATTTATCTTTTTAGTTTTTATTTATGTGTATGTGTATATGTGTCTACCTGAGTTTATGTGCTCCACCTGTAAATGCCCATGGTGGCGGGAAGAGGGCATCTGATCTCTGGAGTTGGAGTTACAGGCAGTTGGAAGCCACCTATTGTGGGTACTGTGAACTGAACCCAGGTCATCCGCAAGAGGAGTAAGAGCTCTTAACAATTGAGTCATCACTCCAGCTCCATCTTTTTTTTAAAGGGTTATGCCTGCTCCTTCTGTAATTGATTTCATATGAACTAAAAGATAGAACTGAACTACATTGTTTATTAATACATAGTTGCTAAGTAGCTTATTTATTTATCTATTTATTTATGTGTATGAGTGTTATGCCTGCATGTGTGTAAGTGTACCTATGTCATGCAGTGCTCATGGAGGACAGAAGAGGGTGTCAGATCCTCTAAAACTGGAGTTACAGACAGTTGTTAGTTGCCATGCAGGTGCTGGGATTCAAACCCAGGGCTTCTGCAAGAACAGCCAGTGCTCTTAATTGCTGAACCACCTCTCCAGCCCCCACTAAATAGTTTTTAGAGTATTTTTTCCTGTCCTGTCACTGTCTTGTTTGCCAACCTCTCTCCATCTCAGTGAACATGCAGATGATGTATTGTCTATGGCCATTGATCCTACCGTGGGCTGGGGAAGTATGTCTGCATCCAGCAGGCAATGGGAACCACTGCACCTTCGTAAGCAGATGACCACTGTGGTGGCAGGGCTGTGAGAAAGGCAATCTGAGCCAGACATGGCCAGGACGTAGAATGAGGAGTGGTCAGAGGCAGGCCAGGAAGGGGGCCATGTGTGGTTCAGCCAAGCAGTAGGGCTGGCTTGAGTAATGCTTGAGGAAAAAAACTGACTGGAGAAGTCACACCAGGAAGTGCCAGTGTCTTGTGGTCAGAGCTTTGTGGGGTGGAGGGAGGAAACTTTGATCTAGGTTTCTGAACAATGTTTGTACTTTTGGTAGAACACTGGAGAAAGAACCCCAGGGAGGGGGATGGCATGTGTGTGCATTCATGAATGGAAAGTGCTAGGGTACTCAAAGAGCTGTTTCTAGAATATTCTTGAACATAGAGAATGCCCACAGCCAGAACTAGGAATTTAGAATTGGCCCTTGCTAGAAACTCTAAGGGCTTGAGTGTGCTCAGCACGGGACTATGGGAAGATCTTTCCTTTTGGAGGGTAGAGAAGAGTATTGATTCATGGCAGAAATCAGAACTCATTGAAATTTTGGTGGAGAACTGAGGGAGACCAAGGATTCTGGCAGAGGAAGGTATTTTTGTGGCCTTACCAACTAATAAATCAGGGAATATGGGGTATTGGAACTAGATGGAAGGAGGGCTTGGAAAGGGATGCGGAGAGGGCAGAGGCAGGTAGGAGAGGCCCAGGTGGCTGTTCAAGCTCAGAGTGACTGGAAGGATAACAAGACAGGGGACCCAGGGCCTGAGAGAACCACGGTCCCTTGGCATTGCCTGCTGGGCTCTGCAGACAAATGGGGACAGAGTGCTCATTGCACAGGAAAGGGTAGGCAGCTTTGAGTAGAAGGAAGCCACACAACCCTCCAACCCCAGCTTCTGTCTCCTGGCCTGTCTGGGCCTCAGCCTCAGCTCTGGTTCCCAGGCTTCTTTCCCTTTAAACAGGAGGTCTTTGAACCCACTGCCTCCCTCATTTCTGGAACTTCAGCTGTCTGCAGCTGAACAGGAAATGTGGCTGAAAGGCTAGGCAGGCACTGTTTCCCTCCTCCGCCCTTCTGCTGACCTCCATACTCAGACTTGCCTATGCTATGAGCTGTAGGTTGCTGGATGTGGCCATGTTGGGCCAGAGCATTCCCACCAGAGATCCTTGCTTGACCTGCAGGCCGGTGGCCCTGAGGTCATCAAAGCGCCCTGACTTATAGAGGCTGCGTGTCCTTGAGGAAAAAGCACAAAGTTCCTGGCAACTTTAGGTATTTTTGTAGACTAGAATAACAGATTACTTCTAAATTGCAAGAGAAGATGTGCAATGGAGACACTGAGTGAATGTTTCCTCAGCTCAGATTTAATTGCAGCTCCTGTGCGGTGGGCAGACAAAGCCCAAAGCTCCTTTCAGCCACATTCAGATGGCCTGCATCTCTAGTCAGTGCATCTTGGGAAAAAGCTCACACTGTTTATGAGGGATTAGATTTAGGTAGCCATGGCTTTTGCTTATGTACATTTATGTGCAACACTAATACTGGCTGTTCCATGGATAGAGAGGATTAACATCAGTCACATTTCACTGACACTCATGAACAACATCAAAAAGGACCCAGTCATCATCCACAGAGAGTGGAACAAGCCAAATACAAGAGGTTCCAGGAAGATGCTGTCTACCTTGAACTCAGTCAACCATGAGGTTTGACTCAGTTTACTAGTTTGGAATGGGAGATAGTAAAGTGTGTGAATGACTAAGAGATGAGGGAAAGAAGGCAAGAAGTTTGTCTTCAAGGTTTAAAATTATTATTTATTATTATTGTTACTATTATTATTGTGTGTACATGTGTGCACATGCATGTGCACATGTGTGAACTCACCTGTAGAGGCCAGAAGTCAACTTCATGTGCTGTTTCTCAGGAGCCATTTACCGTGTTTTTTGAGGCAGAGTCTCTCACTGAGCCTGGAGCTTGCTGGTTAGGCTAGGCTAGCTAACCAGTGAACCCCAGGGCTCCACTTGTCTCAGCCTCCCCAAATGGAATTATAGGTGTGTGCCACCATGCCTGGATTTTTACATGGGTCCTGGGGATTGAACTCAGGTCATCATGCTTGTGTGGCAAATGCTTTACCAACTGAGCCATTCCCCAAGCCCCTTTCTCAAGGATTCTAAGGAATGAGATTACTTTGTCTTATCTGCTTTGTATCACTTGAGATTGAGGCTTGGAAATCATAAATATCCAGTTCTCAGTCTTTATTCTGGATTAATCTACACCATCAGAAACCAGCATGCTTCACTCAGCTGAAGAGCCTTTGCAGTCTTGTGCTGACGCTCAGAGCTTTGGCTTAGAACAAGCTGCAGGTGGAGAGAGTTCTGTGTTGTGTACACAACTGGTCCTGAGGGAATCACTCATGTTCTTCTGTGCCCTTTGTGTTTGGGCATTGTTTCCAAATTCCTTCCAAACTCAAGGGCAGGTGAAAAGTCTCTCTCATGAACTCATGATTTTTCCAACACCCTTTGAGAACTACCACAGCTCCTGACACCAAACAGGTTACTGTGAGGAAAGTGCTAGGCTAACCTAGGTTAGCTCTGAGCTTGCCAGGTAGCCAAGGCTGGCCTTGAGCTCTAGATCCTCTAGCCTCCAACTCTCAGCTTTTGGGATGACAGGCGTGAGCCACTATTCCAGGTTTGATATTCCTGTCTTCTCTTGGGCACTGTTCCCTGGAGTCATGTGGTTTAGGACATATCAGGTGTTCACCACTTTTTTTGTTTGATCTTAGTATGAAGCTGAAGCCTTCCATGCAGGCTCATTGGTGGATAGAACCAGGACTTTGTTAATTGCTCATTCTCTCTCCCCTCACTAGTCTCATCTTTAGTCCTGAGAATCCTGGCTGTATGTTAGACTCCACATTTTCCAGGCACCTGGTGCTGTATGCGTTGCCACACTGAAATCATAGCAAGGCATTTAAAACACAACCGTCCATTCTCCTTTACAGTCACTGTGGCTCTCAATACACCTCCTAATTCTCTGTTCTGTTTTTATCTTTCCCTTTGGATGTGTCTTCATAGGAACTGGTGATAATGGGAGCCCCAGGCTCATTTTATTGGGCTGGGACAGTCAAGGTGCTGAACCTCACGGACAACACGTATTTTAAACTGAATGATGAAGCGATCATGAACAGGCGGTATACCTACCTGGGTGAGTAGCTCAGGGAGATGATAAAACTCAGAATCATGAGTGATTACTCTTGGATTATTGCTTTATTAATACTGTCTTTACATCCATTATTCTGTTTAGTTACACTTCAGCTAGAGTTCTTTAACATCCTGCTGTGTGTACATGAATGGCAAAGAGGAGAGCAAAGGCAGAAACTGAATCAAAGTTGGCTGATTTAATTAAGATCTGATGGTTGAGCCTCCAGGGAAGCAGCTGTTTCATCGCCTTGTTTTAACAAATCATTCATGTTCAGATGGTCAGATACAAAATGAACGAACTGGGGTCCCGATTTTCCCTAGAGATCATTTTGGCTGTGGTCACAAGTAGGAACAGTAAGAATCAGGAATCTCCACGACAGCTGGCAGCTTAGTGCTGAGGTTTACTCAAAGGCTCAGAACAATTCTTGTATTTTCTCAATCCTTTTAATCTTCTTGAAAGAAGATAGGCATAATTTAATATAGCAACCATCAGGCAAAAATTATACTGGGTTGAGCACAGTGGCACAGGTCCTCAGTCCTTGCTATTTGAGAAGCTACAACCTCAGTAGGAAATGTATAGAACCAAGGACATTTGAGGCTAGCCTAGGCTACATAGAGAGATCCCGCTTCAAAGAAAAGGGGAGGGGGAGGAAGGAAGAAAGGAGGGAGAAGGAACGAGGATGCTGAGAGAAGGCCATGTTCACTTAAGAACAGAGATAAGCCAGGCATGGCAAGCCCACACCTATGATCCCAGCACTCTGGAAGTGGAGGTAAGAGGATTATGAATTTGATTCCAGCCTGGGCCACCCAGCAAGACCCTGTGTCAAAAACTAAAACCAAACCAAAACACAGAGATAGGCTGTCTTTGCTTGTGTAAGTAACAGTAACAATTATCTTTTTATCAGTTCAGGCTGTAAGTGGACTGAAAATGAAGCTAAAATTAGAAAGCCTTAATAATGACAAAATACCTGTCTTTCCTGCTTAGTGTATGTTAATTAAGCCAAGGGAAACTTGAAGCCCCCTTTCTGCATAGAGAGTCCCTGGAAATTTCTTACAAGGTGGGTGTAGGGAGCTGGTACTTGTCTTTCCCTACTCTGATTGTTTGCTTACTAGCAGACGCAGCAAGTACTTTACTAAGGTTTGGGGTGTCCACTCATTTGGGGTCTAGCTTATTCATTGAGCATTTATTCAGTGCCAGACGTAATATACGACTTCTTATAATTCCTGAAACAACTTTATAAGGCAGATGTTATTTATTATTATTATTAATTATTATTATTCGTGTTTCAAAGAAGTTACATAACTTGTCAAAGTCATGTGTCTTATAGGTAGCAAAGTCAGTTATAAACCCAGGGTCAAAATCCTGACCCCCATCATGTGTGCTGCAGAGACAGCACCTGTCACTGGTCTCTCACTAAGCAATGAGCACCCTGAGGGTGGGGATTTTGCCTCCCATTCCCAGGGCTTGGTATATATATATATAGTATATAGAAGAGATGCAAACATAAGTCAGAGATTTAAGAGAAGGCAGAAGGGATTGGTTGGTAACTTTGGGGCTGAGGACAGGTCCTGAGAACTTTGGGACCCATGGTTTCTCTCTGGGTCCAGATCAGAGGCCCTTATCTGTTGCAGGGATTAGCCTGCAACAGTTGAGGGTAGGTGTCACCCATGATGCTCTGGGGCAATGTGAACCAGTAGGCTGAGAGAGGTCGACCTCACAGAGAACAGAACTTAGCCATACTAAAGTGATTATGGCTGGTGTGTGTCTCACAAAACTCAGCTCATAATCACATCAGGATTTGAAGGGGCTGTGAAGTCTTAGGGGGATATATAGATAGCAACCTATACATCTTATGACCAGAGGAGTGAGTTCAGCCTGCCAGCAAGGTAGAAAGCAAGATAGGCTAAGCTCAGATGATTTTTTCCCCATTGTTTCTAGATTCCTCCTATATTGAGATTTTGTGACTGACCATCTTTCCATCCATCCATCATCCCTTTCTTTCACCTTCTCTTAAAAAGAATATGATGGGGGCTAGAGAGATGGCTCAGCAGTTAAGAACACTGACTGTTCTTGCAAAAGACCCAGGTTCAAATCCCAGCACCCACATGGCAGCTAACAGCTGTCTGTAATTCCAGTTCCAGGGGACCCAACAGCCTCTTCTGTCTTCCGTGGGCATTGCACGACACGGGTGCACTTACCTACATGCAGGCAATACACACACACACATAAAATAACATAAATAAATAAATAATTTTTAAAAAAAAAAAGAATATGGGGGCTGGAGAGATGACTCAGTGGTTAAGAGCACTGGATGCTCATGTAGAGGACCTGGGTTCAGTTCCCAGCACTTACATGATGACTAACAACCATCTATAACTCCAGCTCCAGAGGATCTGATGCCCTCTTGTAGCCTCTGTGTGCATTGCATGACACAGGTACACTTATATACATATAGGTAAAACACTCATATGCATAAAATAAAAATAAAATTAAATTTGAAAAAGGACATGACCTAGTGGCTAACTACAGGGTCTCTGCAGTCACAGAGAGTGGGTATGAATCTTGCTTTGTGATCTTGGGTGTGATGCTTCACCATGTTTTCCCTATACACAAAATTAAAAAAACTGGATATTGAATTTCTTGCGTATGCCAAGCAAGTGCTCTGCCACTGAGCTGTACTGCTAGCCCTATGTTCATTTTCTTGATCTAGATGGGACTCCATGTGTACAGATATGTGGACTTACTCATTAAGTCGTATACTTCAGTGTGTGTACTGTGTCACATGAGAATATTTTCCAAAGTAAAAAAAAAATATTTATCACATCTCCTATTCCAAAGAAGGCAGTCAGAAAGCACTCTCCTGCTCTAGTGTCCCTGTAAACATGCATTTTTATGAGACAAGCCATTTATCTCCCAGAAGGGTTTATAACCCAAGAATAACTCGACAATAGCTCTCCAGTTAGGGTGCCTAATTGCAAACCTTTCTTCTGAGGTATATTTGTTCTTTTCTGACCACCTTGTTCAACCACGTCCTTGTTTTCTATTCATCCCATTCAGGCTATGCAGTGACTGCTGGCCACTTCTCTCACCCATCTACCACTGATGTGGTAGGAGGTGCTCCACAGGATGAAGGCATTGGAAAGGTGAGGAGGAAAGCCTGAGGTGTGACATGACATCACACCAGGCAGAGGAGGGGAGCATGCTGCACCTGTTATGGGGGAGTGCCAGCTTGGTTTGACCCTAACATTCTCCTGGAGGGGTGATGGGTAAATGGTGGAGTGATAGGCAACTGTATTAGTTGCTTTTTACTGCTGTGGTAAAATACCATGACCAAAAGCAACTTATGGAAGAAAGTGTTTATTTTGGCTTATAGTTCCAGAGGGACAGTCCATAATGGTGGAGGATGCATGGCAATAGGCAGGAAGCTGGCTGATCACATTTCATGACACAGGAAACAGGAACCAGAGAGAGAGAGAGAGAGAGAGAGAGACTAGAAGGGTAAGGGGGGCTATAAATGCCCAAGGTCTGCTACCAGTGATACACTTCCTCCAACAAGGTTGCATCTCTTAAAAGTCCCATAACCTCCTCCAAACAGTACCACCAACAGGGGACTAAGTGTTCAAATAACAAGCTACTGGGGACATTCTTCATTAAAATTGCCACAAGAACCCTTTGACTCTCTCCTTCTAGCCACTTTGGAGAGTTCATCTTGAAAGCTTAGAGGGTGAACATTACTCCCTGAGTACTCTTCTGAGGATTTTTGCAGCTGACTCAGTATGACTTTTGAAGACCCTTGACATCATGGCACCCTCCAGAGGAATGACAAGTACTGTCCAAGTTCAAGTGCCTCCTGTTCCCAAATCCTTCTCATGGAATCAGATCTCACCCTCAGTGTCTTTAGAGTTTTTTTTTTTTTTGGTCTTTTTGAGACAGGGTCTCCCTGTAGCCCCAGCTGTCCTGGAACTCACTATGTAGACCAGGCTGGCCTTGAACTCACAGAGATCCGCCTGCCTCTGCCTCCCGAGTGCTGGGATTCAAGGCATGCGCCACCATGCCCGGCATAGAGCTTTTTAATGCCTGATTTTCATTTGTTTTCCCAATGTTTTAGAAAAAAAAAAAAAAAACAACATTGGTTTCTCAGGACTGATGACTGTAACCAAATGATTGACAAGAAGCAATTTAAGGAAAAAAAGATTTATCATGGCTTAGAGTTTGAGGGGCATACAGTCTAACATGATTGGGAAAGCATTATAGTTAGAGCTGGAGGCTAGCTGATCACATTGCATCTGTACTCAGGAAGCAGAGTGTAAACAGGAAGTGGGGACAGGCTATAATACCTCAAGGCCCACCCCCTGTGACCTACTTCCTTCAGCACATCTCCACCTCTTAAAGGTTCCACAGCCTTCCATAAGCAGTGACACCAGCTGGGAACCAAGTGTTCAAAAACATGAGCTTGTGAAGAACATTTCACATTCAAACCACAATGCCAGGAAAAACTGAACAATGGTGTGAATTGGTGTGAAGTTTGGACCCACAACCTCAAGGGTGGACTGATGTTCATATCTAGCCATATCTCCCATGATTCAGAGAAGTGGGATCTGAATTCTGGGCTGAGAACATAGTTAATAGGAGCCTTCAGCCAGGAAGTCAAGATGGTCAGGAGCTAAGGAGCTGTCCAGCTGGCTGGGCTTGCCCAAGATGTGTTCATAAAGCCATTTCTGTTGCTCGTCCTGGGCAGCAGTCAGCAGCCATTGCTTATGTTTCTGGAGTGTCACTTTTATGGAGAGAGGACTTTTGAAAATGAAACCAGATGAGTCAGGGCTCTGAGCCATAGGGTGGGGGTGGGGGGATTGTGTAGATGAACTCTGATAACTTCAGGAAAGAACTGGCTCTGAGTCATACAGCCCTGATGACGCCTTCTGAGGAGGAAGCAGTGTCCCCAGACTTCTCCACCATGACCTTTAGGATTTGGGCACTCATTCCTGGTGTCAGGATACCAAAGTTTTCATACTGACATGGCTGTTCCTTTTCCAGGGAAGGGCCCCTTACCTTCTTACCTTTGTTTTCATGAGATTATCTTTGCATAAGATGTAATCTGAGGGACTGAAGAGATGATTCAGTGGTGATCTGCACTTGCAGAGGACCCAAGTTCCATTTCCAGCAACCATGTGACAGCTCACAACCATCTTTATAATTCCAGCTCAGGGGAATCTGACACTCTCTTCTGGCCTCCACAGGCACCTGCACACACATGGTACACACACACACACACACACACACACACACACACACACACACACAAGAACCTCCATGATGCGGTACATTTAGAAAGTCCGACATTAATGAAATTCATAGTGCTAAAGACTGAAAATATCTGTTTGCTCATTTCCCAAGCTAAACCCGTGTTTATCCACACAGATTCCACAGCTCTAAATATTATATGGACTCATTTGAGGGAAGTTCTTTGCAGTATCTACCTCTGTCCCTTTTGTCTTAGGTTGTGATAGCTGCTAAATCTCTAACTCATAGCATTGAAGGAGCTAGTTTAAAGAAGAAAGCACTTTTTCCCCCGAGAGTTAAATTGTATACTAGTAATTGGGAAGTCCTTCGGGGTCTTACCATGTATGACTTCCACAAACTGTGGTTCAGGAGCTGTGGTGGTTGTTTCCATCACAGGATTAAAGGACACTTTCATAGCAGAGTTGGTGAGAGTTGCTAACTTCTTCATCATCATTAACTAACACATGTGCATCTGCCACGAGACACCAGAAAGATGCTGATAGATATCTTTGGTCATTGCCTCCATCCTAACTAGTTCTTTTTTTCTTCATTCCATAGGTTTATATTTTTAGAGCTGACCGAAGATCAGGTACCTTAATAAAGATTTTTCAGGCATCAGGTAAAAAGGTGAGGTTCTTGGTGTGGTTCATTTGGGAGTCAGTTCCCTTTAGCAAATCAATCCAGAGGCCTTAGTTGTGCC